TAACTACCTCCTCTCTTCTTCTTCTTCTCTCTCTCTCCTCCTCTCTCTCTCTCTCTCTTGTTTTCTAAAGAATTGAGTCTTTTCAGAGTAAGTCGAAGAAAAATTTGCTCAAACTAAAGAATATTTCGGTGAAACCAAAAAAATTGTATGAGAAATCCATAAGATTTGAAAAACGATTTGTTTTTTGATAAGTGTGGAATTGTGGGAAAGGTTTAAATATCGATTTTTTAGTTCAAATTTTATCTGCAATTTTAAGAGGAAGCCTGTTAAACCAAAATTATGAAGAAGCAATTAATCAAAAACAACCCATAATTAATTAGACATTTGTTACTTCATTATTTTTCCAAATTACACTTTCAACAAATGCAACGTAAATAAATCGAAAACGATAGAAAAAACAAAATTTTTGATTTTTTAGAGTGTTTTAGTACAATGAACTTTTTGAAAATTTGACAAAATATAAAAGTTAAAATGAAAAGAATCTTCTAATTAATTAATTTCCTTAGAGTTTATTCTGAAATTGTCTCTTTATTTTCATCTTCTTTCTAAAAGAGACATATGCTTTGCAGTAGCGAATTTCAAGATAAAATTTAAATGCAAATACATGGGATTACTGAGATCATTGTTAAAGAAAACAATTTCATTTTTGTTGTCAAAAATTTGGATATTTGATACCAAATATTGAACTATTAAACGGAAAAGAAAGAAAAACATTGAAATTCTTATCGAATGAATAAATATAATGGATTGTTTGAAAAATGAAAAAGAGAAATAAGAAAATGAATGAAAAGAAGTGAAATTTTCATAGCACAATCTACCCAACCCATTTTTTTTTTCTTTTAAATTAAATCTTTTGAAAAAGATTTTCAAAAATTTATATAACCTAATATATGACCGTTTATATGCAATACAATGATAAAAAGAAATATTCGATTGATAGAAAATTTACTAATTGCAACTCAACCTGATTTTTATCTATAGCACTTCAATTTGATACCAATATATAGATAAGTACGATGGATAGTAGTATCATTTCCAACTGTTTCAACTGAACTGTATTATCTATGATAAAGGTGAAATAACTAATTGGATTATTTTCCAAAGTTATGAATGTTCCATCGGATAATTTAAAGTGTATAAATTAGCATAGTTATACAATGATCATAACTTAGTGTCATCAAGCAGTCCACATTTAATGTCATTTATGTTTGAGTTGACCGAAATATTGTAATTTACATTTTTCGGCCTCTCATTCAATTTGTGAAAAAATTCAGATCAAAATAAATTATTCATCCAAATATAAAATAATGAAACTATTTAAACGGCAGTTTTTACTTATTGTTTCGTCATGAGCAGGTTGATCAGGTCGGTGATTAGAAACAAGTGAAAAGTTGTAGAGAGTGATTGATCTGTTAGCAGTGACAGTTTGCTATCAGAAAAACACCTGATCACAGGTGTTGCGATAACACCTGATCATTAAACTAATTGTGATAAGTGTTACTCGTTGTATGGCTTATTTTACCCATTTTTATCCTTATTCTCTTTTCTTTTCCACTTATCTTTTGATGTATGTATTCGTATGTTCAATAAAAAACTTCCTAGTTTAATTATCGATCAACTAATTGTGCACTTGATGATGATTATGACAAATAGATTTTTATGTGACTTGAATAACGTTTTGAAAAAATTGTTTATTCATATGATTTCGAAATTTTATTTGTTCGGAATATTCAGGATGAAATTTATATTATTTCAGGAAAGTTATTTGGAATTGTTTGTCGAATCTTTCCATTATATGTACAATTATATCCTTAAATTGTAATTTTTTAAAATGGTTGTAATTTGTTCAAACTACTGCTTCTGCTTAGATAGTAAAGAATTTAGTCATTTCTTATGATCCTTGATGAAATAATTGATAGAAAATCAAGCACTAGCATAATTCGCATAGATTCTGCAATGGTATTCTCCCGTGATATCTCAGCAATAAGCGTTAAAATTCATTTCAAAAGGGAAAGTAGTCTTTTGGACACTGGAATAACTTTATGCATCATCCTTCTTAATAATGAAAATGGAAAGTTTAGTACAGCTGCATTTGGTATGATGATCACACCTCGGTAGATTTAAGTGCTTCGAACTGAAACCGAATGACTTTTGATGATCTTAACGAAATGAAATGAATCTTAACATAATTAAAACTAATTCTGGAGAGAAATTGAAAGGAATGAATGGAAGATGATAAATAATTCAGTAAATGAAAATTTGATTTAAAAAATTGGAAGGCAAACTAAGAATAGCATATGTTTGTTTGAGATATCAAGAATTGTCGCAGTAGTGAAAACTTATGTCATACGGGTAAGCAGCAATCACCAATTCTTATTGATGCGAATAGAATCGAACAAGAAAATGGAACTGAAAAAATCTTCAAACTTATCGGTTTTAATAACGACGAAACAATTTATTTCCGTACTCTCAACTTTTATTCCACAGAACGTTAGTTCCTTAAGATGCCCATCAGCATTGACAATTGCGCCATTCGATATTTATTTGATAGCATGGTACTTCTTGAAAAAGATTGGTAATATTAACGATAAACCAACCGAATATCTATTTATTGAGTTCTCGTTGACTTAGTTCATCCGATCACTGGTAACTAATAAGTAGTACTTTTATCGGCTTTAGAGAACATATTCAGTCAAGCTGCTGTTTAAGAACATTAAGTAGTTTAAGTAAAACATCACGGAATATGATTAGATAATAATAAATAAGTAATTAACGATAATAATAATTAATAATAATAATAATAATAAT